TGTGTATTCATATAGATATAATGCAAATAGGTACATGCACACATATGAAATAACACAATCATTAGTTAAATTTTAATAATTAATTACATGTAAATAAAATACTGTGTATTTTTCCCCTTGTATTTGCCAAACTGCAACTATTTATTTTGTTGGTATAATAACGGATTTCATAAGTTTATCAAGTAAATTATTTTATACATTATATTTTAATGTGCTGAGCCTTCCACAACAGCCTTTTTGTTGAGATTTTTAACATGTGGACATGAACAAACTACTGTGCCTTCTGGATAGAGGGCCAAATCTTTGTCTCATCATTAATTACTGGATTTTATTCATATGAGTAATTCTCCATTGTGAAAAACAAAAGAAACAACTAAGATTTCAAAGGAACAATGATGATTTGTGTGGGAAACTCCCATTAGTTCAGTCGGGTATAAAAAAGGCTTTCCAGCTTAAATTTATGCACTTAGAAAGCCTCAAGTTGTTCACTGATGCAAGCACACTTGGCCATTACTTGAACATCTCCCACGTTGTTGGTTTTACTTGTTTAGGCCTTGTGCTACTGCTGATGAGCTGCAGAGCAAGGCTCTCAATCCCCAGTTCTTTTGCATGCAGTAAAACCAGCACCCATGCAGATGCTGGATCCCATTTAACCTAAAACCAGTAAACACAGTGGTTTTTTTGTGTCTGCACTGAATGGGATTCCTTGCATGGCAGAGAAGCTGAGGAGATAGCAGGACTACTTCCCAGGGCAGTGTCTGGCCCTTCATCACCACTTGGACTCAAATTAGAGAGAGGGAGTGGCCCCATCATCAGCCAAGAGCAGACTCTGGTGTGTTTATGCACAGAAGAGCCTGGAGCACTTCTGAGCTGGTTGGAAGAGAGCACGCGTGTTGCTGCAGCCCATCTCCTGGGGCGCTGTACCCAAGTGATACACCCTGTCTGAACTGAATGTACTTCACAGCCTGCCAGCTCATACTCTGAGCAAAAGAGCAGTAAAATCTGTCTGCACCCCTGGGTAAAAAGACTGTATTAAAGTCACACTGCAAAAAAGGCTTCTACAGGTATTTTCAAAATCCACTCTGGGAAACATTATGTATGCATTAACTTTGGGTAACAGCTATACCCACTTACTTTGGAGAGATAACTGCCCCTACATCTGAGACCCTGAAGTGCATTGCATCAGAGACAATGGTGTCCCTGTAGCATCAAACAGATACTGCCCTGACTCACTGGCCACTTGTCAGTAGATCTCCACTTCTGATTGTCTGCCTTGGATCCCTCCAAGCTTCAGATGAAAAGCCATAGCCTGTGTTCTCAGCCCAGGCACAAATTTTGAGACAAATGAGGTCCCACCCAGAACCATGCCTGCTGAGGTGCCCCTGCAATGAGCTGAACCTCTGGGCATGGGGTCCCACTTGGATGAGAACAGCAGGGCACGCGCAGCCTTGTGGGAGACACGTCGTGCTCACACGACTGGCTGCCAGGACCCAAACAAGGGACTGAAGCACATGGTCTCACAGTTTGTGCTGGCTTTGGGATGTCAGGTTGCAATTTCATACTCCAAAGATTTCTTGCACCTAGGAGCTAAACTGAAACAACAAGTTTGATACTTAGAGGTGAAGTCCAACAGAGCCTGTCAGTAACCTCAGGCACGTCAGGCTGTTTGTGGGGCTGGGCAAGGTGCATTCACTGCAAACCTGGGTTATCCACGTTTGGCTGCTGCCTCCAGAGGACATCGTCCACATTATTTTAGCCCACAGACAACACAACAGCAGCTGAGAAAAACTGGCCTGAGAAACTCATAGCCCCAGTCCCTCCTCCAGAGCAGCACGCTGGCAACACTAATGGTACTCAGGTGGAGGTAGCACTGCCTGGGAATCCCTGCTTCAGAAAAAATCCCAGGTAGCTACTTAAAGTGGCTTTAAGATCAGTCTGTAATGTACAGAGTTACAACCACGTCTAACTATTATTTGATTACCTAATTAAAAAAAAAATCTATGCTGATGGCACCAGTAACATGGTAAATAGTACAAAACGAAAGAATTCTGAACACATGCATTGATGTGTATGTACATTGTGTGTACCAAGTGTGAATATAATTTCATTCGTTTTTTAATAATTCATCTGCTTCTTGCAATAAACTTGCCTGGTTTCTTTAAATTATTGTGGGGGATTTTGTTTGGTGTTTGGTTTTTTTTGTTTTGTTTTTTTAAAATGCAAACTATGTCCATCCAGAAATGTTTTATTTACAGAATTACAAAGAACTATTCATATTGAAAAGAAACTGCTTTAATTTAATGCGGAGGAGGGAGGGAAGAAGGTAAAAGACATTTAAACCTGATGGACTAATACGGGTGCCACACCTTCTTTCTAGAAGACTGTGATATATTGGATTGTTTGCAAAATCCAACTGTTGCGTTTAGGGCTTGAAGTGATTTAGCTGTGTTTTTTATTTACTGTATTCCAAGGATGAAGTTCCTGGAAAATAAAACACTGTGCAATGCAGTTTAAAAGTAAAAGTTGTCAGAACTTGAATGCTCTAAACTGAATGTTGAAAATTATCTTTTATGCATGTTGGCACATTTAGTAGTTTTTCCTTGGATATCAGTTTTTAAGGATTACTGATAAAATCACCGGCATTAAAAAAATAATCACACACTAGACAAAACATCCTCCTTCCTAATATGAGCTCTGTACTTACAGTTCTTTTAGGTTTGTTAGTGTCCTGATAGCAGTGGGGAACTCGTCCAGACTGTTGTAATTTAAATCTCTGTGTGAAAATAGATTTTATTATTTAGGTTATGCACTGCATAACAGATAACATAGAACTGTTGGCATTTGTAATGAAATATCATCTCCCATGCATTGAATAAATACATGCAGACAAAAGCCAAAAAATCCTTAAAAGTACATGGATGTTTTCCAACGAACTCTGTTTAGGGCAAAATACCATTTCTAATTTTTAACAGCATCCTATTTTTAGTTGCATTTTAGCTATTCTGAAATAAAGAAAACATAAGTAGATTTAGATACTACTATGGGATTTGCTGTTTTGTAAATTCCCCATCCGTTTCATTACTTGAAAGTATTAACTGGAAAAAAAAATTTCAGACAGAATATTCAACAACGTTGTACGGTGAGATGCATTTTACATGGCTATTACATCTCACTATAAAGGTTTAATTTGCCTCTGACTCATGGCCTATTTGTATAAGTCTTTCTTTTTTCTGATGAAAAAATCCCTAAAGTTATTTTCCCCAATGGTTAAATTTGGGAGTTTAAAGGGTAAAAAATACTGGGGGAAATCCTCCTCTGGCTAAAATAAGTGGGAAAACATACGTAAATTCAGTGTGTTGAACACTGGAGAATGTTTCTTATCACACAAAATGTAAAAACAGCAGTTTAGCTAGGGCAGGGGCATCTGCTTTAAGAACTGCTCATGCTGCAGTGGTAATTATGACTTTATTCTGGTAGGCTGAATGGACTATAAAACTGCATGACATGTGCATCCTTTAGCATTCAGGAAACACCTGAAACTAAAACTGAGATATGCCGTGATGCTCCCTGGCATTGCTTTCTGAAGAACACGATCTGAAAAACTTGAGCAAAAGCCTGTTTGAGCAGGAAAATCACAAATCGCAGTTTACAATAGATTGAAATTGAAATAGTATCAGGCTGAAGTCATGCAGGCAGGAAACTGCTGTCTGAACTCAACAAGGCTTTCCTTCCTGCTTGTAAATCTCTCTCTCCCGCTTATTGACAAAAAGAGATTACAGGCATATACAGTTTGGTTTTGCCCTCCAGTGATATGTGATTTCCAGACCTATGTGTGGATGCAAACAAATGATCTTAAAGCCAACATCCATCATTCGCACCATGATCTCTTTAGATTATCTTGAAACTGTCAGGAAACCAGTCTATACAGCGTGTGATTTCTGTGCTTGAGGCAAGTGCTACATTCTCCTGTTTCAGTGGAGTGACTGCACCTACACTTATCCCCAGGTTCCTGACTGTCCTCTGTGTTTCCACCTCTCTCATGCCAGGTGGCTGGGACTGGGTTTGCAATTACTTATTCCATTGTTCTGTTTTTCCCCGTTTTTGACCAAGTGCCATGTGAATCTCACTTGAAACAACAAAACAAACTATTACATTTTCCTTCTCCCTTTCCCATCCCCCTTTCCGGTGCAACACTAAGGGACTTCCTGGCAACTCACAGCCAGCTAAAAGTCAAAATTGTGTAATTGCAATTCAGTGCCAAGGGATCGATGGAATCAAAACTAAGGACAAAAGAAAAGCCCAAAGCTTCTTGCTTTCTGATCTTAATGAAACATGGAAGTGAGCAGTACATAGTTCCATGGAACAGAAAGCAAACAGTCATCTTTAGACCAGCATTACTCATGTCTCAAACTCTGTCTATTTGCTCCTCCTAACAAGCCCTTTACCCTCTGTCCTGGCTGGGTGAAATACCTAAAATCTCAGGAAATCATGCCACTGACTGTGGCAGGTGCCAGTGTGAAGGATATGCAAGGTTTTACTGTCCCTGTAGCATGTTGGGTATCTGTGGCCTACTCTAGCAGACGGCATCTTTTTTTGACTAACTGTAGCCAGATAATTTGCGCTAACCATCAGCACTGTGCTCCTGTTTGGTGTTCTTCTGTAGAATTCCTTTCTTTTAGAAAACTCGAGACAATTTGAATTGGTTTGAGCAGAACTGCAGTGAAAACTTGCAGAAATTGCAATCTTTGCCAGTGCTAGTCTTCATTAGAGCTCTCCAAAGAAAAAAAAATTGGACACAACTGAAATATTCCACTTCTCCTCTTGGAAAACACATATGTAATTTGGCCACTTGGCACTTTTGATTTTTTCAGGGCTAAAAAAAAAAAAAAAGAAAACCATCTAATTTTATTACCTTCTTCTATGGTGAGTCAGTTTCTTGATGTCAAAGCTTTTGTTTGTGACAATTTGCTATTAGCTTTTTTGATGAAACAAAACAAATAGTATTAAACTTGGCAAATATAACTGTTCAAGAGTAGCCACTTCTTTTTCAATGCTCAGTACAGTTTTCAACTGTCCTTCAAACAATTTATCAACTGACAATGCTAATTAAAAAGGCAAAGTAATTTTATAGTAAAAAATAGGATTTGCTACATAGACTCATTGTAAACCATCATTTAGATCCAGTAAAGATTAGGCAAGCCAAAGCCCACATTTGGCTTTTAGGGTATTTTTATTCTTTCAGAATATTAATGAAAACACTGGAAAAAAAAAAGGAAACAAATAAGAGGTCAACTCACAAAGTCTCTAGGCTGTGGAGCCCATCAAAGCATTTCTTTCCCAGGGAGTAGATTCTATTGTTATGGAGATGTCTGCAGGGGAACATTAAGCACACAGTCAGGAAAGCACACTGCACACAGTGGACTTAAGCAAAACATTTTGATGGTTAAATCAAAAGAAACTTATTTTAGGCATGCACTGATTATATGCTTTTGCAAGAGCATCTATAGGAGACACCTCCAATGCCCTCCTCCCTTTCTCCCAGTATCTCCCCACCCACCCAGGTTTCCATTTGGCTTCATACAAGGGGTTTGTTTTAAAACCCCTAGATTTTCTAAAAAGAGTATATACTGGACTTCCAGCTTGAGGTTTGAATATTGGGAAATTGTAGACATAGACTCATTGGTTTTTAATTAACATGTTGCCTTAAAAACCTGTGTATGGGGTATGAGGTATATATTCGGGAAACGTGTATTTGGAGGACGCTAAGAGGGTATGGCACAGAACAGGCGCAGGTGAGGAGATGGATAATATGGCAGACAGGTTTGCAGAATGAGACACAAAGCCACAGGAGAAAGAAGTCATAGCTTCACTGAGATGAGTAAACTGACTGATCTTTAAAAGTGCTGTAGCTTGTCTTTCTTCGAAACTATAAAAAAAACTACTTTCATAAATGTAAGCAAATTATAAGTAATTTTGTTATATTTTTCAGTTGATCTCCTCAGCCGGAAAAAGCAGGAAAGCTCAGAGTGCTGCATATTTCTAGGTCTTTCAGACTGACATGGAAAAAACCTACTCTGTGTGAAGCTCATTCATGAGAGTAGATACAAATTAGAGCCACTTCAGGTTGTTTTTTAAAAAGCATGCCTTTTATTCCCAGCATATTTTTCCTTTTATTTTATTCCTGACACTCTACCCCATAGTAGAAGAAAACTATGGGAATAGCACTTTGAAAGAAAAGAAGGGCTGTGAATGAGGGGCTGCCAGGCACTTTCCCTTCAATGCTTCATTCTGCTCTAAATATAATGTTAAATATCCCAGGCTTTCTGAATGTCCTGTAGAACCAACAAAAATTGAGTAGTCTACCTGTCCTTAAAAGACAGGGATTCTGATGGCAAAATGCAAATGTTCTCTGGGTTTTTCCTCTCCCAGGAAGACATCTATTCAATGGTGGTTGTTTTGTTTTGATGACTACTCTGATCTTTAATGCTTTCATTAGCATGAAGAGTGCATCTCCAAATTCCAGTTATGTTTGGGAAGTATTATGATAGAGCTTCAAACCTGCTCCAATTGGCCATGCATCTTTGCATGGAGTTGAAAATTTGCCAGACTGTATAGAGTTGCAAACAAAAGAAAGCAGAACCACACACAAAGGTTCTGATAAGCCCAAAATATCAGATATTGTAGATCATGAGGAATAATTCAATTACTAATCAATATGAAGCCCAGAAGATTAGAAACAAGCAATGCAGATTTCAAATAAGGAAACCTAGCTGAGCAGGAGCAATCAGGATATGAAAAAAAAGTAATTTTCTCCTGCATTTCTTAACTGTCCTCTTATTGTTGTATTTCTGGCAGAGATCTAGAGAGCAACATTCAAGACAAGCCTCTTGTCTTTAGAGTTAGTTACTGAGGTAAGTCTAGAAGATCAGTCAAATCATGAGTCCATCTATTCTTTTGACAGGAATGGGATTGACACTTAATGTTAACAGAAGGCAAAGATTTTGTGGCACAAGGCAGCTGTTACCCCCAATTTTTGATGCCCTCTGTGTTTATATGACAATGAAGCACTAGGCAGAGATGGTGATTATAACTGTCAATAAAGAACCCTGGTGTGTGCCAGGTTCAAAACTTACACTGCAGCCAGAATATGCTAAAATATGCTAAATGTCTTACAGACTATGCTTTCAGCTTGTACAGCTTGAATATACTATTCTGTTTTTAATAATGCAAATAATGAAAAATTTTCCAAAGTATCCTGAAATCTCCACTTCAGCTCTCCTCCTCAGTTTCTCCAGTCAGTCTAGAACTTTTTCCACTTGGTACCTTCCCAGGAGATAAAAAGCTGTCACTGGTCTCAGCAACGTATCTTCCAGATTCTGGTGCGAGCTACTTGTCTTTCATTTAGTCAAAGTGGTATGCAAACATCATAAGATACAAAACTACATATACTTTCTATAAAGGGAAATGCATGCTTTTTCTACTGGACAGCATTCTTTCCAAGTCACTCAGAAAGCTTTCAGTTGATTTCCTGTTTCTAATCTTCTCTCATTTGGGGGGGCACACAATTCATCTCTTCCTGTTTGTTTTGCTGACCAGATAGGGTGTTTTTTAATTGCCTTACATAGCTCTTTACTGAAGATGGAAACTTTTAAGCTAGAGCAAAGCAATTGATTTTACACATGCTGGTTTAACTGTAGATGTAAAAAATCTGTTTCTCCAAGATAATTTTTTCAGGCTTGATTTGTAATACATACACAATCTAGAAAACTTAATTTATATTTAAAAAAGAACATTTTCTGTAACAAATGAAACTGACATCTTGGTAAAGGAGTATCTTTAAGCCTAGTGCAAATGCAGATGGGAAGCTACAGTTTTATAGCCCAAATATATCAATTTAATATTAAAACAGTAGATAAAATAGACATTTCATTAACCCATGTATATACTTATTTACCTATCATTTGTCAACTGAGGAGAACTAGGGAAATGCATGATTTTTAAATGTTGTCTCAAGTAACATTTAAATTAAACATTGCATCTTCAAGTAATTTATCACAAAGATGTCAAAGCCCTGCAAAGAAGCTGGGATTGTGTCTAAAAAAGCAATCAATAAAACTTACAGAACTACCAAACTAGAGAGGTTTCCAAAAGCATAGTCTGGGATGTAATGAATTTTATTCAGTGCCAATGTCATTGCCTGAAGTGCTGGTAAACTTCTAAAAGCTTGGACGGGAATTTCTGTCAAAGAATTATCATCTAGCCACAGGTGTCTAAGGGAGACCAAGCCATTGAAGCAGTTGGGGGGCACATAGTTGATGTGGTTGGCATCCAGACGTCTAGGAGAAAAAGAAATAGAAAAACATTGACTCCAAGAAAAGAACAGTGTATTTACACAATGCACATAAGAAATTATCACCAAGAACACAATCCAAAAGGATGGACAGGGGTTGCCACCTCCATTTTTAATTTTCTGGATATTCTACATTATGTCTTGCTTGCAGCCTCACCCCTGAGACCTCACATTGTCTTTACAAGTCTCCTTGTCAGTCACTCTCTGCAGACAACTCTCCTTTGTAGCCATCAACTCACTGAGAGGACACACTGATCATTGTTGAGTGGAGTCTCTTTACAAACCAGGTATAAATTTGTTTCCTTTCCCAATTATTTGAAAGTATGGAATGCAAAAAACTCAGCCAGAGATTCTCTTTCAGAACCTATAAATTGCTGAGCTGCAAGATGATTTGGTTTCCACACGCTAGACCTCCATTCTAAGGGTCAAAACTAAAACTCACTTCAGTATCTCTGTTCCTGTTTTACCTTTTCTTAAATATTCTTTATCTCAATGATTACAATGAGCACTGATGTTCCCACATTTCACTAGTGGAGCAAAAAGATTTTTAGAAATTAGTGTTGCTAATGCAAAGTATTTCTTTTGGAAAAGAATTAAATAGACTTCAGTTGCTGCAGAGCCAACAGAGGGAGCTCAATTGCACATCGTACCTCTTCACAGCCTGCAGGTGATACCTGCCTCTCACACTTGTGCAAATAAGGATTAAATCTACTGAACCTTTTGCACATGTGGCACTAGAAATATGATGTAATATATTAATTTGCTTTTGCTCTGTTTTGCTTTCACATTGCAATGCTTTCTGGGAAAGATTCAGATTTCTACAACTTTGTGAAACATCCAGATGCTGATCTCTACTCTGATACAGTTTTTCTGCTTTTCAAGTGTTGTAGTGACTTGTACCTTGCTCAGAACATGAAAGCCTCACTCTAAAACTCTTCTTGAAGATGTCTGCACAGGGGAGTAATTAAGTGAATGGTGAAACAGAAATAAATTTAAATAGATGTTTGAAAACACTACAGAACAAACAGCCACACCCAGGGTACAAAGAAGTAGTTCGGTACAACCTAAATTTGGTCTGTTTGAGAGAAATGCAATACTCTTTGTGGCGGGCATACTAATCTCTTTATTTAAAGCTTCTTCCTCATTTACAGTCATGTAAAATGTCAGGTCCTTTCTATCTCCTGCTCCATGCTCCTACCTATTGCATGAGAACAAATAATGACTGCTAAGGCTCCGTGCCAGGCTGGCAAATAACTGAGACAAGGTCAGTTGGAACAAATTTATACAGTTCAGTGTCAAAGCCCTTGTACAATTAAATTTTCAATATAATAACTGACATGGCAGGCAGCAGAGACAGAGCTTCCAAAATAACTCAAGGGTCTGTCAACAAATGGGTGAGGCTGGAAATGTTTAGAAATACTCGTGCTGTACCTCCCCCATTCCCCAGGCAACAACCATGCTACGGCTGTGTTTTCAATGAGTAGATGAGGTTTCTTTGTGTTCAGTCAGAAGTAAATTTCTTCCCTGGGTGATGCTGGTATGTAAATTAAAAAGTTACAGTTGCCTTAGTTTGACAGTTACACTGATTAAAGAATGGAGGCTTTATTCAAAATAAATGTTGTTACTGTATTACAATTAACATCTTGTTCAGTATGAAGCCTGCCTGTGCAGCTCTGACATCCCTGTTGACTCCACAGTGGTTACTCAGAGGATGCCTGTCTGCATGGCAAAGCTAACAGTCCATTGCTTGTATGTGATCCTGTGATTGAAATGGCAATATTTCTACCGTCATCAGTGAGACTATGGTTTTTATTACACCAACATTGGTAGAAAATTAAGAAATTAATTTATTTCATAGCTGAAGTTTCCAAGTATAAGCCCATCACTGGCTACATGAACACAATACGCAGCATAGAAAGAAAGACAGGACTGCTGTAATATAAATTCAATTCTGGGTAGTTGAATTATTGTCTAAAAAAAACTTGGAAGAAATCAAGAAACGACAATGATTTGTGCTGCAGGTCCTGTAACTGGATTACATATCCTGCAAGTGCTCGTAAGAAGTACTGCCTCAAGTGCTCTTTTGTTATCTAATCTTTTTGAAATTTCCAAGTGCCGTTTTCCCTCTTGCAGATATTAAAAGGTTTCAGCAGTGGTTATGTTTCCTGTCATGCTGTAGGTAATGCACACTGATGTAGAAAACATTGATCCAAATCACTATTTTCAGCCAATTGTTTTACATGTGTTGATCAAAGTTTTGGCACTTCCAGAACTAAACCCATTAACTCACAAACATGACTCTATTTATAGCTGAAAATATAAAGATAACATGTGGCAAGTTTCAAAGCTGCTATTATAGTCCAGAGAGAGCCAATGGAGGGAAACAGAAATGCTTGATCTCTTCTGATAGGTAGCATGTAAATAAAGCAGCCAGTATGAAATTCACCATGAGCTCACTTAACATGTCCAAACCTTTCAAAGCAAATTCTCGAGCTCTGTGGACTGTATCCCACTGGTGTTTCCTGTGACATACTGTGAATGCTACAACCATGTGCAGAAATTGTGACAACATATCATTCTTATAGAATTGTTAACAGGACTCATTTATTGTTACTCTAAAATGCATAATGGTAGATGTTTTAAAACAGTTTTATTTGCATTTTTTAATCAATTCAGTATGATTGCATACTTAGTTTTACTCCACTGGTAGGTTTCTAAGGGAATATATATTTCTTTTTCCTTTTTCTGAGTCTTCTCTCAATAGCAAGTCCAGCTAAAATCTGGATGTACCTTGTGATCAAGAAATCTCTTAATGCCTTGATGGAGTGTCTTGATTATTGATTTTTGGTTTAATAAAATTGTATGAAGCCTGCCTGTGCAGCTCTGACATCCCTGTTGACTCCACAGTGGTTACTCAGAGGATGCCTGTCTGCATGGCAAAGCTAACAGTCCATTGCTTGTATGTGATCCTGTGATTGAAATGGCAATATTTCTACCGTCATCAGTGAGACTATGGTTTTTATTACACCAACATTGGTAGAAAATTAAGAAATTAATTTATTTCATAGCTGAAGTTTCCAAGTATAAGCCCATCACTGGCTACATGAACACAATACGCAGCATAGAAAGAAAGACAGGACTGCTGTAATATAAATTCAATTCTGGGTAGTTGAATTATTGTCTAAAAAAAACTTGGAAGAAATCAAGAAACGACAATGATTTGTGCTGCAGGTCCTGTAACTGGATTACATATCCTGCAAGTGCTCGTAAGAAGTACTGCCTCAAGTGCTCTTTTGTTATCTAATCTTTTTGAAATTTCCAAGTGCCGTTTTCCCTCTTGCAGATATTAAAAGGTTTCAGCAGTGGTTATGTTTCCTGTCATGCTGTAGGTAATGCACACTGATGTAGAAAACATTGATCCAAATCACTATTTTCAGCCAATTGTTTTACATGTGTTGATCAAAGTTTTGGCACTTCCAGAACTAAACCCATTAACTCACAAACATGACTCTATTTATAGCTGAAAATATAAAGATAACATGTGGCAAGTTTCAAAGCTGCTATTATAGTCCAGAGAGAGCCAATGGAGGGAAACAGAAATGCTTGATCTCTTCTGATAGGTAGCATGTAAATAAAGCAGCCAGTATGAAATTCACCATGAGCTCACTTAACATGTCCAAACCTTTCAAAGCAAATTCTCGAGCTCTGTGGACTGTATCCCACTGGTGTTTCCTGTGACATACTGTGAATGCTACAACCATGTGCAGAAATTGTGACAACATATCATTCTTATAGAATTGTTAACAGGACTCATTTATTGTTACTCTAAAATGCATAATGGTAGATGTTTTAAAACAGTTTTATTTGCATTTTTTAATCAATTCAGTATGATTGCATACTTAGTTTTACTCCACTGGTAGGTTTCTAAGGGAATATATATTTCTTTTTCCTTTTTCTGAGTCTTCTCTCAATAGCAAGTCCAGCTAAAATCTGGATGTACCTTGTGATCAAGAAATCTCTTAATGCCTTGATGGAGTGTCTTGATTATTGATTTTTGGTTTAATAAAATTGCTAGATACCGGCTAGGGAAGGGGATTCCTTCAAGGCCAACCTCCCCTCTGAAATAAACAGGTGTTACATGGATTGCTGCTTCTTGAAGTGGATAAGGGCCTAATGCAGAGACTGGAGGAGAGCCACAAAGACAAAGAAGTCAAGGACAAAATGTATCTTCTGACATTGAAGTTTAAAACAGGAGAGACAAAGCCACATGAAAAGGGGCTATTTGTAACACGCAGGGGAGGCAGAGAAGTGAGAGAGCACAGGAGGACTGGTATTAGGAATGGTGCATTAAAGAAGAGGGGTGCTCCTCCCTCTCTGATCATCTTCCTCTTCTCCTGACCTGGCTGTTACACAGGAGCCACAGCCAAGCCTCAGAACAAGTTATGGGACAATGACAGACGGGGCCTGTCTGGCGAGGGTATAACGGGCTGGCGGGCGTCACCGGCAGCCTCACCACCTTTGTTAGCATGTAGTGACAAAAACTCTCTCAAGGGTTTTTTTTCACAGGAGTTTGATTAAAGCCTCATTTAAGTAATGGCAAGTGACATTGAAACTGGGTCTGCAAAGTGGATGTAAAGAAAATATAGCTGGCCATTGTGAGCCATGTTTTTCAAACATGGCCCTTTATGCAGGATATCCCCTTCAGTCCACAGGGGAAAATGCTAGGACTATTGTAAAAGCTTAATTGCAACACACCAGCACAGCAGTTCCCACAGCTCACTTTCAGCTCTGCCCTGGTATGGGCTTCTACAGGACTGATAAAAAGAGCCTTGTGTGGCAATAGCAAGACAGAAAAATAAAGGTCACAAGTCCCAGTCAGGGAGCATTTGTTCTGTCCCACTGCTCCTTTTTACATGAGGAGGTCTCTGCAGTTCTCGGAGTGTCAATCCCTAGTGTTTCTCTCCATAGCCAAACACGCTGCTCAGG